ATGGGGGGTGGGGGGCGGCAGCCCCGCTCCTGCGCCAGAGCAGGCGGCACTCCCGGCTCTCGCCGGCCTCTCCCGCTCCTCCGGTTAATCCCCCGCGGTCCCACGTCAGCGTTTCGTGGGTGCCCTTCGCGGGGCGGCAGAGCCGTGTCCCTCCTCTCTGGGAGGGGTTTTGGCTGGGGCTGCTAAACCCCCGCAACACGTGGCCCTGCGCTGCTCGTAAACGTGCTGTGCAAGCAGGCGTGCGCACGCGTGTCCGGGGCTGCTCCCGCCCCAAAGCATCGCAAGCATCGCGGCTCAGCAGACGCTTGTACCGAAAAGGGAAGTGGAGCAGCAGCCCCCGAGGCCTTTTATGCACCTGGATTTCAGTCCTTGCCCTGGTGAGCTGAATACATAAGCACGGTTAGGAAGAGGTCCTGCCCTGGGCTGTGTTGGCTGAGACTAATTCTGCTCCCTCCGTTGCAGATGCCGGGTCTGGTACGCAGGGCTCAGGGCTGTGTTTTTCTGATCCGCTTCACATTGGCGGATCATCCCGCAGTAACCAAACACACCCAGGGCACTCTGCCTTTCCTTCCTCCCCAGGGTCGGCTGAATCCTGATCCTAAGAGCCAAGGACATAATTTTGCATCTCCCTTGTTTTTTTAGCTGTTTGGAGAAGTGTGTAATAAAATCTGTCTCGAGACTTGTCTTGAGGGACTCCAGCTCCCTGCAGCCTGGCCCAGCGTCCCCCCCCTCGGGTTGTTCCCCATCACTCAGGTCTCACGCTCCGTGTCTTTGCTTCCATACTCTCTCCAGAGCAAACGTTTTGCTGATGCTGGGGAGACCAGACCTGCCTTTCTGTATGCTCCCTCTCCTGTTGTCCAGAGCCGTGCACCCTGGCTGGGTGGCTCTCTGGAGGGCATGAGCCTTGCCCTGCCTGTGCTCGGGGGCCTTGGGTGCCCCTGGGCACTGCTTCACGGCAGCCCGGTCTGGGGACACCAGGTTTTGTCCCTGTATGGTGCTGAGCCAGGTGCACAGTTCTTGGAGACACTTTATCCTGGAGCCCAGGGTGCCCTGGCCTGAGGCTGCTCCTGAGCATGAGAAAATAAAGTGTTTGAGGGACGCTGTGTGTGTGCCTGGCCGGGGCTCGCCCAGGGGACCCTTTGCCCCTGGTGCCTGGGGCCATGTAACCACTGCTGCAGCTTTTCTGATCTCCTCTTTCCAGGCTGCGAGCTGACTGCCAGTACCAAATCCTACACGTTTCAGGTGGACAAGGAAGATGACTCCGACCACATTTTGGCCCTGTCTGTGGTAAGAGAAATGAGAATTGACTGTGCTTGTCCTCTCCCATGGTGGTCCACAGCCTCACCCCCACTTCCCAGGCTCATTCCCCCTTCCCTGGCCGGGCTGGAACTGGGGACTCACAGCTGAGACCGGGCTGTGGTCTTGGCACTGGCTGCTCTCAGGGCAGGGCACGGGACTGTCATGTTTATGGAGGTGCTTGAGCAAAGCTAGTGGCAGAGGAGTACTCCAGATATGGGGTGAAGGGAAGTGTTTTTTCCTTGTATTTGACCTTGCTGGAGCCTCCCACTAGAACATGGCCCCCCTCACCAGCTGGGTCTCTGGCTTGTTGCTCTCCAAGCCCAGCTAGATGCAGGGCTTCATTCCCGGTCTCCCTGGGGGATACTTTCTGTCCTGGGAGCACAGAACTTGCCAGCATGGGTCAGATCAGCAGAAAATGCAGCCCAGGCACCATCTCTTGAGGTGGTTGCAGGAACAGCTGTCCCAGCTGGGAAAGGCACAGAGCCCCTCCGGAGGTGGTCAGGGGCAATTGCTGGGGGGGGCTCCGTGCTCTCCCTGTTTTGTGGAGCAGCATCCTCACACCTTGCATGGCAGCAGGGCTGATAGCATTGCTGTGAGTCCCTTGTCCCATGGAGACCCCCGGTTGTCCCTGCTGTGTCCCCTGGGAGAGCAGTAGTTCACGATCTCCGCTCCCACCCAGGTCTGCCTCACAGACGGTGCCAAGGATGAGTGCAACGTGGTGGAGGTGGTTGGGCGAAACCACGAGAACCAGGAGATCGCTGTGCCTGTGGCGAATCTGAAGTTGTCATGCCAGCCCTTGGTAGGAGGTTGTTTTGAAGACTTGGGTGGGGATGGCTTCAGGGAACTGGACGTCTCTGGATGTTTGTGGACCTTTCCCCTAGGATCCTGGCCACAAGCTGGTCTGCAGCTCACGGGGAAATGCCCTGGGTAGCCTCAGCCTGGCTGCAGATGCCCTCAGAAGGACATGTTGAACTGGGCCAGGTGCCGTGCTGGGGACTGCAGGACATTCTGCTTTTTGCCTCTGCCACTAACTCAGCTCCATCTCTGTTTCTTTGCAGCTGAGTCTGGACAACTTCAAGCTGCAGCCTCCGGTGACCTTCCGCCTGGCGGCGGGTTCTGGCCCGGTCCACCTTGCTGGCTGGCACCAGATCGGTAAGGACTAGTGGGTGGGGAAAGGCTTGGGAGGAGCGAAGGGTATGGAGGGGCTCCCTCCAGCAAGAACGCCGGCTGGGGAGCCCCTGGGAGATGCGCTTGGTGCTGCCCAGCACGTGGACTTTGCCTCCTTTGTTCCGGTTTCCCAGGGGCCGTCTCCATGCAGGGATTCCTTCCCTGCCGTAAAACCTTGCATGGGAAAAGGGGGCTGAATGACCCACAGTGTCCCCTTTTCCCATGGCTGACTGTTGCCATTCCCCTCTGAGATGTCCCTCCAGCTGGGATACAGCTTATTGCCCACAAGCTGCTGTTAAAACTGCTCCAGCACTCCTTGGGCTGCTCTGCTCTTGGGGTGTCTTGGGGGCCAGTTGTATTTGCAAAGACATACGTTGGTGAGTAACAGAATTATTTGTGTGTCCCAGTGCACAGGGAAGATGCTTCCTTTGAGGAGGATGATGACTTGTCTGAGGAGGAGGAGGAGCTTGCTCCTATCATGCCAGCCAAGAAGTAGAAGAGGAAGCAGTAACTTATCTCCAGGCAAGGTGAGGGGCCGGGCAGCCTTGGAGGAAGGGTCCGGGTGGCTGTGACGCCGGTGTGGCAAGCGTGGGTGGAAGCTGCCCTGCTGCAGGAGGCTGCTGGTCTCAGTCTGGTTCTTCCTCCAGGTACTCGCTGGGACTTCTCTCCCTGGATGGCTTTTACCTCGGACACCTCTTGCCAGGACCTCAATGTTTGCTGCTTTGTTTTGGTTTGTTTTTTTTTTTTTCTGTTGTAACTTTTTGGGGAGCAGGGGCTGCTCCCAGCACTGGGGTGTCTCCTTTCCCACAGCCCTGGGAGGCTGATCCCAAAACTGGATAGATGCTGCTGGTATATCCCCTCTCCCCATCCCTGTGCTGGGAGTTGGGGATGGAGGAGGTGATCCTTGCCCTGTGCCTTTTTGCTGTTCTGGACCTCTGCTCTGTGCACCCCCTCTCCCTAGCTCCGAAATACCCAGTCCTGGCCCCTTCCCCAGCAGATGGACGTAAAGCCAGTGGTGGGACAGGCAGTTTCACTGATTCTAGTGTGTTTGCTTTATTTGCTCACAATTTGATGGTTTTTATACACTTGGAAGTGTGAAACTGGGGCCCAGGCTGCGTCCTCAACTGCCGTTATGGTGGGATGGGAGCTCACAGCCTATTTGTGATTTGGGGGGAGGTTCTGGGTCAATCTGCTTTGTAAAGAACTGTTTTTACACTCTGAATAAAGGTCTCTCAGGCGTCAGGTCTGGAGGGGGGGTCACTGCTGGCTGGCAGGTTCCTCCCATGCGCACCGCAGTGGGAGATGCTCCTCTGTGTCCAGTCCCTGACACTTGCTTCCCTTGGCGATGGCTGGGGGCTCCTCTCTCTCCCTTGTGGGCTCTGCACGCTTGTGCCCCGTGAACCAGCTCAGCGCTGCATCCAAGCTGCTGAGGGAAGGGGCAGAGTCGCAGGTGGCTGTATGGGGCAGGGACCCAGCTCCACGTGTGCTCCCAAAGGTAACCCAGCTGTTAGCAACACCCCCCCGGTTTGGGTCATATTGGCCCTGGTGCTGGGCACTATCACAGCAAGGTCCTCACTTGTGTCTTGCTCTCAGCCCAGCAGCGTCCTGTGGAGGGGTGAAACACCAGTGCCCGCAGGGTGTGGGGCAGGTTTGAGCTCTGACCTTTGCTGGGGAGTCATGTCCTCCCATGTCTGGGTACCTGGAGAGGGTTTGATCTTTTCTGCGTTTCAGTCAGGTGGCACTTCTCACCCCTGGGAGCTGGTCCTGTCCTTAAAAGTTTCTCTGGTGGTTTCCCTGCATCCGATCTTGCATCCCTGACCCATGGGCCGATGCCTGTCCCAGCCCTCCTTGTTTGTGACACTGGCTGTTGTCCCTGAGAAGCACCATGTACTGTCCTGCCCTGCTGGCCCTGTTGGTGTCCTGGGACAGCGAGTTTCTCGACTGCATAGACTCCGGTAGGAAATCCTCCAGGGCAGATCCTCAGCTCAGGCTCCATCCTAGGTTGTTAGCGAGGCTGTTTCTCTCCTCCGGGGCCTGTGCAGCTCCCCTTTGCCTCCCACATCCCCGCTGTTTCCTTCTGGCCCCAAACAGCCCTTGACCACCACGGAGGGAGGCTTTGATGCCCCTTGCAGCAAAGGGGAAAGGACTGTTGGCATCTCGACCCCACGGCATAGGGCTATGTCCCTGGGGACCGTGCCTGCCTGGGAGGCACCAGAGGACAGAGCAGAGCCTGCCTGGGGGCCGGGCACCCCCCTTGGCTGGTGCGTGGCACCCCGCAGCAGCGCGGGGGGAGGATGCCGGGGGGCTGGGAGAGGCAGCGGCGCTATCCCGGTACCTGCTGGGAGACCGGAGGCGTGGGGCCGGTGGCGGGGGCCCGGGAGGCGACGGGGGCTGGCGGGTCCCATCGCGGGGACCG